CGCTGAGCTCAGGAGATGGTGCCATCAGGGCTGGGATCTCATTTCAGCCCTTAGCATCCCTATGGGGACACAGAAATGAGGTTTTCCCCTGGGACTCAGCTCCTGCAGGGAGCCTGGCGTGGGTGCTAAACCGAATGGGATGTCCCCAGGAGACGTCTCGCCAACAGCTGTGGGCACAGCTCAGGGTGATGGTGTGGGGAAGGCTGAGGTTTTTAGGGTGGGCTTTTACTAAAGTAAAAGGGATTCCTGCCGCTGGCTTTAACAGGAGCGTGAACGGGAAGTGCCGTTCCCCACAGTGAGCTGCTGTACAGCCGTTTTGTCACCGCACATTGATAAAAAAGACGGGTACGAATGTGAAAACAAAAATCCCCCAAAATATTTGCCCCACTATCAGAGTTTGGCTCTTTTAAGGACCTGGCCAGGACTGGCGTTCTGCTTTGGTGGGATTTGCTCCTTGGAAAGAACAGGACCAGGGCCATCACAGCCCCACGGCGCTGCCTGATCCAACAGCCCACGAGCTCAGGACCAGCTCGGACCCTCCTCACATCCGAGTGCAGAGCCGGGGTCTGCGCAGGGAGCACCCACGCTCTGTGCCGATGCTTTGCCAGCCCGTGTCCTTCTGCTCTCCTGAAGCATCCTCAGGCCGGGTACCAGCCCACCTGGGCTGCTGCAAGAGGGGTGCTGCAGGGCTGGCATCAGCAGGGATCCGTGTCCGCGCCGGCGCTTTAGGAGTGCGGAGAGCAGAGCCGGACCCTGCCTCACCCACCGCCACCTACCCTGGAATGACGTACGGCGAGTTGTAGATACCAGCTTCCATGTCATGAGTGATGATGAAATGCTTCACCCATGGGGCCAGGACCTGGGAGAGGAAGGGGAGAGGGTCAGGGAGATCCGGAGAGCAGGGTGCCCGGCTCGGGGACACAGCGGGGGGACACGCACGGCTCGGCGAACACGGCTGCCGGGGTCTGCATGTGGTGCCCTCCCTTCTGCTCAGGCTCTACATGCACCTGGTGCCAGCTTCCCCACGCTGCCGTGGGAAGGCACGGAGATGGAGCTTCCTACCTGTATGAGTGAGTCTGTGCTTCCCCAAATAACCACCCTCTTCTCCCAGGGATTTTACATCTGGCTGTCATTCACATCACGCCTCTGGCCACCCCCCGGCTTCGCCCGATGAAACGGGCTGGAGACCCAGAGTGTCCCCACAGCTGAACCAGGAATGGGATCCAGCTTTTCTGCTCTGCCCTCCGCATACGTGAGGGTTTTACATGACCAACGTTTGCTGGGAATCAGGACCCGATCCCAGTGTGGGTCCAGCCCACCAGCCCGCGATTTGCCCCCACGGGCACGGGTACACCTCACGGTTACCAAATGGATCCTCTGGAAAACAGAGGGGGGCACAAGCCCTGCACCCACCTCACCTTTATGACCTGTCCACGGCCGGGCTGTAGCTCCGGGTCGGGCTGCAGCTCGCCCGCACGCACCCCGGTGCAGTTGATTACGACGTCCACGCCCCGGGCAAACATCTAACGAGAGAGACGTGGCGTGATGAGCAGCGCGCAGAGCGACGCGTCCCCGGGCGCTGCCCATGGCGGGCACGAGATTCCCTCATCCCGCACCAAAGCCAAGTCAAGTGCTCGGTCCAACGTTCTGGTAACGAATAAAGTAGAAGGGCTGGATCCAGGGCACGGCTTTCCTGGCACAGCTCTCGCCAAGACCCCACGCGTGCGGGCGAGGAGAACGTTTGCAGTTTAAGGGCACTGCCAATGCTTGGCTGCACCATCGCTCGGTGCCAGCCGAATGCACTGCCCCGTGCCCCCTCAGCCATCTCTTGATGCCCAAGAGCCTTCATCTTTCCTGGTAGAATTTGTTTCCTAGATCTTGCTGCTGTCCCCAGTCCTGGCTGTGCCAAGGGAGATCCTGGAGCAGCATGTGCCCGCTGGAGGCTGCTTCTCCATGCCGGGATGGGGCCGTGCCCGCTCTGCCCCAGCTCCACGTCACCACTCACCTCCTGGAAAGATTCAACCTTTTTACGGAAAAACTTCACTCCTCTCTGCGTTAACCTGGGAAGAACAAGTTCATTTGTTAGCGGCAAATTAAAAGCCAATGGACCATTCAAATCAGCGCCTGTAATTGATACCCAGGGTAGGGAACGGCTTGTTGCTCCTGGTAATAAATGTCTGTGGTCTCCTCGGTGCTTCCTAATGGTCTCCAGTCATCAGTCACTTCCCTAATGGTCCGAGCTACGAGGGGGACCAGCCTGGCTGATCCCCACAGCAGAGCCCCGGCTCTGCTCTGCACAGGGCGCCCGCTCCACGTTAGGAATCAGGGGAACAAAACGAAGCCCCAAATACTCCAGTAGCTAAAAGCCGCCAGCCGCGTCTCAAAGTATCCCATCACTTTCACTTTCCTTTTTGCCACGCAAAAACACACTCTTGGGGCAGCTGTTAAAGAGGGGGGTCTGTCACCCCACTGGGGCGAGTCACAATTCCAGACCCTTTTCCCCACTTCCCAGGGATGTCTCCTGCCTCCCGGCTCGCTCGGCTCATCCCGCCGTGCCCTCGCCCCCGCGCTCCTGCGGGGTACAGGGTGGGGGATGCTGAGAGCAGGGGAGGGTGCTCAGGTCCCCCGTGGGTGCTGTCACGGCGAAGCCACCGGCACCGGCAGGTCAGAGGTGCCACCTACGCCCCGCCACCAACTCGGCAGGAGAGAAGGATCCGGGGGAACACCTGATGTGCAGGATGAAAACCCACACCTGCCTCCACGGCCAGAGGAATCGGGGGGAGCAGCAGGTCCCCGGGACCACCAGCACCGCCGCGGCGCCGCACTCACCTCTCGGTGAGCCACGGCAGGTAGCTCCGGCACTCCAGCATCAGCGCCGTGTTGAACCAGCCGTAGCTGAAACCAGAGGAGAGGAAACCGTAAGGATCCACCGCAGCTTCACACGAGCAGCCACCTCCCGCCCCGGTGCTCCCGACGGCCGCCGCAGCGCCGGGACCCCAACTGCCCCTTGAACAAACGGGTGCACAATTTTTTTCCCCTCTCTTTACAGCATAAACCACCTTCTGCTGATTTTCTCCCCCCAGTTTGACCGTATCTGGTGAAGTAGGAGAGGAACTGGAATGGTTTCCACACCAGGCTACCAATTTTTTGTTTTTCTGCTTATTTTAAGGGAAGAGGGGGTAATGGAGCAAGGCCACTTCTGCACCTGCATTTCCCATCCTCGCCAGAGAGGTGCCTGTGCCCATCCAGCTGCACCTTCCCTGCCCGTGGGAAAGCACACCAGTGACTCCCAGGAAAACAGACTGAAAAATACCTATAACCAGGGAAGAGTTCAAGCTCTTTCGGTGTCAAATTCCTGAATCCCAGGACAATGTTCTTCCAAGATGGGTCCTGCAAGAGGAAAAATGTTCAAGCTCATTAACGAACCCGAATCACTGTGGGCCAGAATCCGCGAGGGACGCACATCCCACCCGC